TGAGCTCCGTGAAATCCCCAACGCCCATGGCCCCAGCGTCACGTCTCGCTTTCGCCGCCAAAACGACAGTCATATTTGCAACCGTGTCCTCGTGATCACGCAACCGAAATTTCGAGAAATCTGAACAAGATATATCGTAGCACCCTGGAATGAGATGTGAATCCTTCTTCCAACAACTGCCGCAAAAAAATGCATGGCTTGTGGGAGCTTGCGCCCGTCCAGTCGAACGTCATCCTGTGGCCGTCGAGGTTTTCTAAAACACCTTTCACCGTTGCGAACAGCAGGCGCGTTTGGCCGAGCACATTCAACGCCGCGCCCGCGTCTCTGAAGGACAGGGGGCCAAGCAGGATCCCACGCAGAAGTATTGCGAACAATCTGGACCACTTGCCCTCGACCTTGTCTGTGATGTGATCCCGAATCACAGCGAAGGTCGTCCAGCTTGCCTCGTGGCTCAAAACTGACCACCCGAGCTCTAAACAATTGAAAGAAACAACCATGGTCTTTCGTTTGTTTTTTTTGCTTTTTTTTTTGCCGCCAACCGTGTACTTGTCTAAGCCGATGACCATGCTCCAAGGTCTGTCAATCGAGCACGGGCGCCTCGAGAAAGCATTCGAGAAACACGTCTGCAACTCGCCCGAAGCAGCCGCATCTCCTGGAGAACGAGCGCGGGCTGGCAAACCTCCCATCGCCATGGTTCGCCAGCTGTCAAACGCAGATCGACGTCGAACCTCGCCCTCTCGAACAACTCGTGGTTTATAGCGCGAAGCTTCTTATCGCCGACAGGCTCGCAAACGAGTTCCGCGGCAATCCGCACTAACCCATCCAGCGATATCCCGCCCGTGTGCAGCGCGGGCTGCGGTCTCAAACGCTTCTGCGCTGCGTCGTGGGCCGTGGAGCGGAAAATGCCGCTGCTACGGATGGGGAAGAGGGGGGGGGGGCGTGCCAATTGGGGGAGGGGGGGGGGGCGGGCGGAGAATATGCCATAGGAGAGGGGGGGGCATGCCAATTTTGGGGGGAGGACAGAGGATATGCGCACCCATATGATTCAGTCAACCCACCAGCCCTCTGGGCGTGGGCGGCTTAGATCGCTTCCTCTCCCGACCCCCGTTCCTGGGGCGGGCGGGCGGCGTGTGTGTGTGTGTGTGTGCGTGTGTGTGTGTGTGTGTGTGTGTGTGTGTGTGTGTGTGTGTGTGTGTGTGTGTGTGTGCGTGTGTGTGTGTGTGTGTTTCTGCGTGTGTGCGCGCGTCGCTCAAGGTGGCTTCCAAGATGGTCCAAGAGGGCCCAAGACCGCCCAAGGACGGCTCCAAGGTGCCAAAGGGCTCTCCATGGAGCCCCCCCCCCCTATATATATATATATATATATATATATATATGCATATATATACACACATACGTGTGTGTATATATATATATATATACCCTGGCGAGAAGCCCAACCGTATGCAGTTGGGGGTACTGCGTGGTGGGTACCGCCTTCTGTGGAGCTCCCTATGCTGCCACGACCCGTGTGAGGAGCGTGCCGACATGGGGCGGGGCCGCCATGCGAACCATGCCACCGGGGACTTCAGTGGAACTCCCTCTGAGGCCGCGAACCGTGTGAGGGGTGTGCCGAAATGGCCCGAGGCCGCCATGCGAACCCTTCGGTGGAGCTCCCTATGGGGCCACGGTCCTCGTGAGGGGTGTGCCGACATGGCCCGAGGCCGCCATGCGAACCCTGCCGCTGGGGCCTTCGGCGGAGCTCCCTATGGGGCCACGGTCCTCGCGAGGGGTGTGCCGAAATGGCCCGAGGCCACCATGCGAACCCTGCCACTGGGGCCTTCGGTGGAGCTCCCTATGGGGCCACTGACCTCGTGAGGGGTGTGCCGAAATGGCCCGAGGCCGCCATGCGAACCCTGCCGCCGGGGCCTTCGGTGGAGCTCCCTATGGGGCCGCGATCCTCGTGGGGGGTGTGCCGAAATGGCCCGAGGCCACCATGCGAACCCTGCCACTGGGGCCTTCGGTGGAGCTCCCTATGGGGCCACGATCCTCGTGAGGGGTGTGCCAGAATGGCCCGAGCGAGCCCTGCCACTGGGGCCTTCGGTGGAGCCCCCTATGGGGCCACGATCCTCGTGAGGGGTGTGCCGAAATGGCTCGAGGCCGCCATGTGAACCCTGCCACTGGGGCCTTCGGTGGAGCTCCCTATGGGGCCGCGATCCTCGTGAGGGGTGTGCCGAAATGGGTATAGAACCCAGGGGGGGTAGCCTACCCTAGGCCCGCGGGTCGGGTCGGGTCGGGCGGGCGGACCCTAACGGGCGGGGCGGGTCGGGTCGGGCGGGCCCTAATAACGGGCGGGTCGGGTGGGGCGGGCGGGACATTGAAGTATATGGTGCGTGTGCATTGACACGCGTGAACCCTAAACAACGGGGTCGGGTCGGGTCGGCGGGCGGACCCTAACGGGCTGTTCGGGGTCGGGCGGGCCTAACGGGCGGGGCGGTCGGGTCCGGGCGGGACATTAAACGTAAGGTGCCGGGCTCTTGACACGCGGTGAACCCTACAGGGGCCTCTGTGTCGGGTCGGCGGGCTGCCCTAACGGGCGGGTCGTGTCGGGTCGGGCGGACCCTAACGGGCGGATCGGGTCGGGCGGGCGTGACATTAAAGCACGGTGCGTGTACACCTGACACGCGTGACCCCTAACGGGCGGGTCGGGTCGCGTCGGGCGGGCGGGCCCTAACGGGCGGGTCGGGTCGGGTCGGGCGGGCCCTAACGCGCGGGTCGGGTCGGTCGGGCGGGGCATTGAAGTATGGTGCGTATGCACTAGACACGCGTGAACCCTAACGGGCGGGTCGGGTCGGGTCGGGCGGGCGGACCCTAACGGGCGGGTCGGGTCGGGCGGACCCTAACGGGAGGGTCGGGTCGGTCGGGCGGGACATTAAAGTATGGTGCGTGTACACTTGACACGCGTGAACCCTAACGGGCGGGTCGGGTCGGGTCGGGCGGGCGGACCCTAACGGGCGGGCCGGGTCGGGTCGGGCGGACCCTAACGGGCGGGTCGGGTCGGGCGGGCGGGGCGCTCAAGTATGGCGCGCGCACACTTGACACGCGCGAACCGTAACGGGTGGGTAGGGTCGGGCGGGCGGCCCCTAACGGGCGCGTCGGGTCGGGTCGGGCGGACCCTAAACGGCGGG